TGAAGTAAGCCAGGCCCAAAGAAACTTAGGTCCCATGGTTTCCCTTATTTGCAATAACTAGTATATGTCTGTGTCAAGCAGAACAGGTCAGATAAGTTGATGTTAGGGAAATGAACCCTAAGATAAGTATTCAAATGTTTTTTTTTTCTTTCAGGTGATTGTTTCTAACACATTTATAAGATTATTTCTTTGTTGCTTTGTATGTCCCTCCTCCATGGTGTAACCCCTGCTTTCCCTTTATTTGAGGTTGGTATAATTTGTGGAAGGGAAGGGAAAAAAACAAATCTTTTAAATAGGGATACAGGTGGATCCATTGCAACAATAAGATGTAAAAGTCGTTATGTGGAAAAACGAACTTTACAACTTTGGTGGGGGGAAGAAGGTTGGGGGGCAGGGGGAGGATGGGAAGGGATGGGAAGGGATGGGAAGGGGAAACAAAGGAGGAGACTACAATGCTTGATAAGAAATGTACTCATTATCTTGCCTGTGTAATTGTAACCCCTCTGTACAGCATTTTCACAATAAAAAATGACAGGAAGTATTACATATTATATTAAATAGAAAAAACTGAAATAATTTCTCTTTTTTCTTTTTCTTCTGATATAACTTCTCCTCCTAAACTTAGTAACAAGACAAAGGTGTTCATTCTCCACACTCTTGTTCAGTATGGAACTATAATTCTTAGCCAGAGTAATAAGGCATGAGAAAGAAATAAAAGGCTTCAAATTGGGAAAGAAAAATCAAATTACCAGTTTTGGAGATGATATGTTCATATACTTAGCAGTTCCTACAGACTCCACCAAGAATCTTCTAGATCTGATAAATCACCTTCAGAAATGCAGCAGGATTTAAAATCAACACTTAAAAATCAATAGCTCTTCTACAATAATTTACTGGCTGAGAAAGAAATTAGGAAAAAAATTCCATTTTAACACCTTCAAAAATGGTAGCTCCTTTAACAAATGGTACTAGCAGAACAGACTTATCTATGTGTATGAGACTGAAGATTGACTCATATTTCTCAGCTTGTATACAAAACCATTCCAAATGGAGTAAAGAACTCAAAGTAAGGCCTGAGACTTTTAAATATACTGCAGGAAATTATACGTTATTTACTAAATAGTACTCCAATTACCCAGAAAACAAGAACAAGAACTGACAAATGAGACTGTATCAAATTAAAAGGGAACAATTACAAGTACCAAGAGACAGCTCATAACTGGGCACCAGTGACTCCCACCAGTAATCCTAGCTACTCAGGAGGCTGGGATCTAAGAATCCCAGTTCAAAGCCAGCCTGGTTAGGAAAGTTTGTAAGATTCTTATCTCCAATTAACCATAAAAATATTGGAACTGGCCAGACACCAGTGGCTCGCTCACAAGTGTAATTCTAGCTACTCAGGAGGCTGAGATCTGAGGATCAAGGTTCGAAGCCAGCCCAGGCAGGAAAGTCCGTTAGACAATTCTCTCCAATCAACCACCAGAAAATAAAAGGCAGCGCTGTGACCCAAGTGATAGAGTGATAGCCTTGAGCTGAAGAGCCCAGGGACAGCACCTAGGCCCAGAGTTCAAGCCCCGCAACTGACAAAAAAATATTGGAAGTAAAGCTGTGGATCAAGGAGTAGAGTGATGACCTTGAACATGAAAGCTCAGGTACAGCACCTAGGCTCTGAATTCAAGCCATAGAATCAGCCCGAGAGAGAGAGAGAGAAAGAGAGAGAGAGAGAGCACTCATAGACTGGAAGAAATCTTTGCTAGCTATTCAACAGATAAAGGATTAATATCAAGCATAATAAAAGAGCTCCAAAAATTAAATAGCAAAAGAACCAATAATCCAATTAACAAATAGGAAAATGAATTGGATAGAAGAAATACAGATAACTAATGGATACATGAAGAAATATTCCACATCTCTGTGAAGGGTAAACAAAGGAGGAGGCTGCAATGCTTGATAAGAAATGTACGCATTAACCTGCCCATGTAATTGTAACCCTCTGTACAGTGTGTTCACAAAATAAATAAATAAATAAGAAATATTCCACATCTTTAGCCATAAGAAAATGCAAATCAAATCTACACTAAGATTCTATCTCCCCTAATCATAATAGCAATCATTCAAAAACTACAAATTCTAGTGAAGATGCAGGGAAAATGAACTATCATAAGCTGATTGATGGGATTGTAAACTATTATAGAAATTAGTGTAGGAGCTCCTCAAAAACTACAAACTGACTCATCATATGACTCCACCAAATAACTATTGGACATTTAACAAAAGAAAAGTAAGTCAATATAAAGAAAGATACTTGTATACCTGTGTTTACACCTGTAGCACTATTCACAATTGCCAAACTGTAGAATCAGCTAAAGTGCCCAAAAATAGATGAATAAAGAAAATACAGTACATGTGTACCATAGCATATAACACAGCCACAAATAAAAATGAAGTAGTCATTTTTAAAATATGGATGGAATAGAGACCATTGTGTTAATCAGGGTAAGCCAAGATCAAAAAGTATATATGTTTTCACTCATATATGGATGCAAAACCTAAAAGACATTTATGTTCATGTACAAATACATGTATATTCACATTATATATGTTATATATGTGTATATATGTATATACATATATTTATCATAAAACATGATTTTATCTTTAGGACTGTTTAAGGGGATGAAAAGAAGGAGTGAATAATTTCAAAATAAATTGCAACTATATATGAAGACTACAAAATGAATATCAATGAAAGGTGTTGTACAATAAGGGTTGGGAAGGTGGTCATGGAAAGAGAAAGTAATAAGCAGTTATTCTGAGCAAAATATAATATACTAATATCTAAACGACCATGGTGAAAGCCCTTAGTACAACTAAACCACAAGAAAATAAATAAAATGAAAACAGGCTCTGTTGGGGGGAGGGTAGTACCAATAAGAAGGTGGAGGGCTAAGGAAAAGGATCAGTGAGGATGAATTTGAAGTAATTTTTTTACCTGTATACAAATAGAACAACGAAATTTGCTGAAATTGTTTTTAAGAAGGAGTAGGAAAAGAGAAAATGGGGGATATATTGTACACATGTAGAGAAAGGTCACAAGGAAATTCTCCCCTTCTACTATTAAAACAATTATTTGCTGTGCTTGTGCTAGGGCTTGAAATCAGGGCCTGGATGCTGTCCCTTTGTTCACTCAAAGCTGGTGCTCTAGCACTTGAAGCACAGCTTCACTCCTAGTATTTGCTTATGGACATTCCTGTCTGAGCTGGCTTTGAACTCAGCCTCCTGAGTGGCTACGCTTATATGCATGAGCCACCATCACCCAGCTTAAGTGTAGTAATTTCTTTAAAAACTGAAGGGCTGGTTGTAGTTCAATCAGTGGTAGAGTATGTGCTTAGAATGCATGAGACCTTAGGTTAAATTCTCAGCAACAAAGTAAAAAAAATTAACTGATAAAGTCACTTAATGGAAATGCAGTGAAAAAAAGGAGGGGAGACAGGGGGAAATAAATGTCAAGGGGATCCAGAGGGGTACAACTAAATGTCAGTTAAGATAAGAGTAAGCTAACACAGGAGAGAAAATATGAATAGGTGTAGCTCTCAACGTGGCTAAGATGAAAAGTTCCCCAAATAACTGTAAGGTTTTTGGAAGATTTTTATCTGCTTAGAGGAATAAAGGCTTTGAAAACACCCCCCCCCCAAAAAACCAAAAACATATGGAGATTCAAGAAAGTTCAGTTCATACCCTAGGTACTAGTGGACATAAGATGTTTAGACACAAAATGTAGTCTCTCAACTTTAACTTCCTCACTTATGAAAAAAGAGTCAACATGTACCCTGCAGAGATTTAGTAAATATTAAATGAGAAACATGGAAAGAGACATCATATTAATCCTTATACATGATTGGTACCCAATAAACACTCCTGCCTTCTAGCATTCCTTCCTTCTAGCAGTTACAAGGCAACCTGAAAGGATGACTAAGAAAAATATGGTTGATCATATCCCATGCTTTCATAAAACAAATAAAGAGAACATCCAAATCACAATTAGTTTTTTTAAATATGCAAGAAAATATCCTTAAATTTGTCATAGCCATCTTGGCAAACTAGGAAGTATTAAATCAAGATATAAACCTCCTGAGTTAGACCTATGGAACTCTGGGCCTCAAGTTTACTAATTGGTACAATAACCTCAATCCCACCTATTTTAAAAGGTTATTAAAGAACTCAACTGAAGCAATGTATGAAAAGGTATAGCCCTCTTCAACAGTAAAATAGGAGATACCATTACCATACTTCATGGAAGAAACACAATGTGTGTCCTAAACGGACTTAAATGTTTACTCAGAGCTTAATTAAGCAATTCAGAGATAAAGTACTCGCTAATTAACTAATATAACATAAATGAGCAAAAAGTCCTATAAGAATTTCAGTTGGAATTGATCATGAACAGTTCAATATTCGTAAGTAACATTTCATTTTGGGAGTTCTCCTGTGCTTACCTTTTCTCATTTCCCAAATCTTCATTTTTCTGTGATTTTTCAGAGCATTTTTCTTTTCCCTTATATAAAAGAAAACCATTTTGAATTGTATGTCCGTCTACTTTTGTAAGATTAAGTAGAACATGTCATTAGTATGTGTTCACTGTTATATTTACCTTAAGGAAAGAGACAAATGATCCAATATGTATATCTCCTTGTTCGGTAACAGCTACATCTTCCGTATTGGGATCAATAAAATCATACACCTCCTGGTCTAAAAGCAGATTCATATATATTTTAAAATATAACAGAAGATGCTCTAATACTGTAGTGCTTAGAATAAAAAGTTATTTTCTCACTATAAGAATTAGCTTAAAACATTATAACTTTAAAAGCCTGTTTTTAATAAGGATTGTGCACATGAAATAAAAAGAGCAGATACCACATGAATTACCTTTCTGGGAATCAATCTTGCTTCCTAGTGTATGATTATCATTTCTCAATGTTTGTTCTCTATTTGATTCTGACACTTGAGAATGAAGACTGATTGTATCATCATCTGAAGGCTGAAAAGAACATGTATAAAATACAAGCAAGGCATGTGAAATATATGATAAAAATTATATTGCTTTAACTAAACATATGAATTAGAAAATACCTGCTGTATATGTCTAGTTTTCAAACCAAAAAATTATGTTAAAGGTGCTTGTTCTGCTTTTAAAATAAATAGATCATTGTTTTCATTTGTCATGTGATCTTATTTGCAAGTCAAATATGTGCAAATGTCTCTTTCAAAGCTCTAATGAAATTATAGAATAAATTAGATCTGTAATAGAAAAGACTCACTTCTGTTGTAGATAATCGTTTCTCTCCATTATCACTCCCAATTCCAGAGTCAGGACCGTGATTTTTATTCGGATAAAAATCTTCCATACTATGGAAATAGAAACCCTAAGGGCAGTTAGAATTTTTTCTTAAATAGACAATGCACACTTTCCCTACAATTTTCCTAGATAAAATAAAACAACCTTAAGGACTGGAGGGGGAAAATACCAGAAATATTCCTATGAAAGGTTTTTAATTCATGCCATTCATGCAATATTTTCCCTTCATCTATTATAAAGTATTAATTATTAACAAGAGCCCATTTCTCCAGAGGGATTCAGAAAAGCAAACTACCTTGCTAAATAATCATCTTGATAAAAGACTTATCATTCTGCTTTGTTTGACAAATATATTTTACACAGTTCTTTATTCAGTCCAAAAACGTGCTCTAATTGTAATAAATAATGACCATCTAATAATTAAGACATACACACATACACACACAAGAGTTGTAAAGCATTGTATATGTTGTTCTTTTGGTATGATGCTAAGGCTATCCCTGCCAATTTTTGAATTTCAAAATATGCCACCAAGGTAGCAAATATAATGACACTTATTATGTGTGAGGAACTATGTTGTTTTAAGACAATGCCTTTTATATTTCTGTTGAAAACTCTAGCAGATGGATGGTATTCTCTCATTTTATAAGGACCCTGAGGCTGGCAAAAATGGAGATAATTTACCTGAGTATACAAAATTTGCAAACACCTTTGTAAATCTGATTCCCAGATCTTAATCACTATGCTTTAATTCCTCTGCTGAACAAAGTGTCCTCCTAAAACCCTAGCAAATGCAGTTTGTTCCTCACCTACAGTGTTTACACATGTTATTCTTTCTGCCTCAAATGACTTGCTCCACACTCCTCACATAACTGGATTTTCTTAACTTCCAAAGAGACATACCCTGACTGCGGTGTACAGTTCTTTATTTTACAGTACTCACCACAGTTTTACATATGTGTGCATGTATATTTTACATACATATACAGAAGCAGCAACAAAACAAACTTGAAAATATTAAAATCTGAAAATGAACGTAACACAGCTACTTAATGAACATCACAGCTTAACCACAAAGTCCATGATAGGGTATTGATTGGTCACTCTTGTGACCTGGTGGCTAAGTTGCTGCAACTCATTGTGGCTTCCCAATATTGTGAGCCAGTACCATACCACACATACTAGAATAGAAAAAAATCAAAGTATGGTTCCTTGTAAAGGCATCAAAAAGTCAAAAATGCCAAGTTGAATTACTCTAAGTGGAAGAGCATCTGTGGGGCAGGAGAGTGTGGGTATGAGTGTATATACTATAGTTCAAATGTGCCACTAAAGCTCACATGTTGGAAATTTGATTCTTTCACCATGTGGAGAAGTGAGGCCTAACTGGTGATATTTAGGTCATAGGAGTTGTGCCCTCATGAATGGATTGTTTTTATGGAAATGTGTTCATTATGCTGGAAATAAGTTTAAGAAATAATTTGGCTCCCTCTTCTCCCCTTCTTTCTTTTGCCCTTCTTTCTGTGACACAGCAATATAATACCATATACAACAGTTCTATCTTGAACTTCCTAGCCCCTGAAACCATTATTCAAATAAACTTCTATTGTTTATTAATCATCCAGCCTCAGGTTATAGATCGCAAAGTATACTGAGAATATATATTATTGCTTTGTTTATTTATTGACTCCTCGACAAGACTATAAGCTCCATGAGGATCAAGAAAAACATGTATCCAACCAAAAAAAAATCCCTCTGAATATAGAAATAGGAATTCAACAGATATTTCTGACATAAATGACTAAAACAGTGAATATCATTACTAAATTCATTCTCAACTACAAGCCAGACTAAGAGATTAACACAGGTCTTAGTTCCAATTTTTACTGAATTTTCTCTACTACAATTCATAATATTTAACAAAATACTCCTTAGGAACTAAATCCAGTGTTTAGATATTTAATTCTACTCAAAGCAAGAAAAGTATTCAAGGAAAAGTCCTATTTAGGAATTCAAGATCATATCAGCTTAGCAGTGGTATTTACGATAGTGCCATTCAAAGCAATATACAACTTTATCATGTATGCAATGACAACCTTTGAAATATTTTATCCAGAGACATAGTATTGCTTTTTGTAGTCTCACCCCATTCAAAGTTATCTATACTGGTACATGGGATTCTATTTTCATAAAATCATTCAGACTAATCTATATCTTGAGAAGGTATCAGGACTGTGATGTGGCGCAAGTGATAGAGCTCCTGCCTAGCAGGCATGAGGAACTGAGTTCAAACCCCACTATAAACAGAGAGGGAGGGGTACCATTTTAAAATCTCATAAAGAAGAAAACACCAAAAGCATAGCTGATACCTATGATTCATCATCTTTGATCTGGACATAAAGAATATAACCAAGAGGTTGTAATGTGGCTCAGTTGCACAGCACTTGCATAGGCTGAACCCCCCAGCACCACACAAAAAAGAGAAAATGTGATGAAAGGAAGAAAGGTACCTCTAGAAATGTTTCACTCTTCCACCAACCTCAGTTCAAAGTCAAATTCTACTTGCTATTACAAACGCAGAAAACAGTGACAAAGGTAAATAAACAGTTTTTACAACTGAGAAATAAGTGTCCCTATGCCAAACACTTACATTTTCACTACTGAAATAAGAATTATCTGGAAAAAAATCTCAAAGTTACTCTAGTATTCCAAAATGCATTCTATGATATTTAGCATCAGCCAATTACTGAGGTTAACTGGGCCAATCAGACTAAACACGTTTTGAATGTTCAAGATTAAGAAATACCTTTTATTAAAACATGGAACAGTTATCATGTGGGAGTAAGAGAATATTACATTACCTGTCTGTGAGAGGCTGAGATGGCACTCTTTTATTCAGAGATGGAAGATCAAGAGAATCTGGTTTCTTATCCATTCTACAACATGCTTGAATATTTAGGTACTTAAATATGTGCACTTTACCCTTTAAACATATCTGTCAAATAATAAAATATATTATATAGTTTCATATATAAAGGCTCTATTATTTATGTATTTTTAATACTTTCAAATTATGTTGAGACTTCACAGTCTTGACACTTTGCATGTTTGAATAAATTGTACTCTGACACTACATGCAAAAATCTGATTATAAAGCTACAAATTAGTATTCTTTTACCATGTCTTTGTTTTAATTGAGAAAAGTAAGTTAATTTTTCTACTTTGCACTCAAGTTTACTTGTTAAAAGTAGAATGCAAAAGTCATTCAACAATATAAAATTTTCAACTCATTGAAATGGTCTTTATTTGAAAAAAAGAACACCATCCATTAGATTTTTGAGAACAGAGTAAATGATATATGTAATTATTTAGTCTCGCCAGAACCACTAAAATTTCAGGATAAGAACATTGACAGAAGACTAACATAAAGATAGAAGAAACGTAGGAGACTAAACTTGTTAGAATACACTGAGAAATTATTTTCATTGCTCATGGAGGAAAGGAATAATAAGGGGTCAAAAAAAAACTATACAAAAGAATGGAAACGAGGCAACGTCAGCTTTACAAAGGCTAAATTCAGTCACCATGAATAAGAGCAAATAAATCTCTCAAGATTTCTAACAAAAATAACTGTGTTACAGATTCATAAAACCTTAAAGTACATGAAAACACAATCAACAAAGAAAATAGACAAGTGCACTAAAAAGAAAGTATAATTCCAAGTGAAAATGAAAAATGCTTCATTAAAATTAACATAGTGACTAAAGTAGATACTGGGTCTGAATTGACTACTGAAATTGTTCATTTAAGAAAATAAAATTTCAGATTGGGAAGGTGGCTTAGTGGTAGAGTGCCTGCCTTGCATGCATCAGGCCCTGGGGGCTCGATTCCTCAGCACCACATAAGCAGAAAAAGCCAGAAGTAGTGCTGTGGCTCAAGTGGTAGGGCGCTAGCCTTGAGCTGAAGAGCTGAGGGACAGTGTCCAGGCCCAGAGTTCAGGCCCCACGACTGGCAAAATAAATAAATAAAATTTCTTGAGCTATTAGAATATAAGTAATTGACAAATTACAAATTAAAATGTGCTAAATAAGAAAGCTAAGGGCTAGTATCTCACATCCATATTCCTAGCTATTAAGGACACAGAGATCTGAAGAACAAGACTCAAAGCCATCCCAGGAAGAAAAGTCCATGTGACTCTTGTCTCCACAAACAAAACACAAAAATGAGAAGTGTGGCTCAAATGGTAGAGCCTTACCCAAATAAAAAAATCTGAATGAAAGCTCAAGGCCCTTGAGTTCATTCCCCAGTACCAGCACCAAATACCGTGGTAAATAATACTCTGTTGGCTTCCAAACTAAATAAACATTTACCTTTCATTATTTTTCTTCTATAAATGTTAACTTATTTGGTGGTACTGGGGTTTGAACTCAGTTCCTCAGCTTCACAGGCTGGCATTCTATGATACCTCCAAAACCTGCATTTTGCTGGAGATAAGACTAATAAACTTTCTTGCCCAGGCTGGCCTTGATCCTAATCTTCCAGATCTCAGCTTCTTGTGTAGATAGGATATCAGGAGACAGCCACTGGAACCCAGATTAACTTTTGTTTTTAATCTAATAATTTGTGTACATAATTTTAAAAATGAAACAAGAGTTTTGCGAAACAAATGGTATGGCCCACTCTGCTACAGGTATATGGGAATTAAACTCTCTAAGACTTCCCATGCTTGTAACTTTTTCCTGCCTAACTGTTGACTAACAGCTTGAATGTAGAAAGTTGGAATTATTCCCTCCTCCTTTCAAGAAACCAACTTAAGTTCTGTTAGTTTCCAGGGCTGCTGCGAATGTTTTCTGTTTTTTCCCTCTTTTTCTCCCTGGCTTTACTGAGTCATGAATGACAAATCAATCCTGCATGTATTTAGAGTATACAGTATGAAGTATTGCTCTATGTATACATTATGAAACTATTACCAAAGCCAAACTAATTGACATACCCATCACCTCATATAATTGTTTTGTGTACTATAAGAATAGTTGAGAGTTATAACCTTTAAGCAAATTACCCTAACAATTAGTGATACTAAACATCTTTTCAAATATCTGTTGGCCATTTGTATGTGTTTTTGAAAAAGTGTCTGAGTCATTTATCCATTTTTAAGTTATGTATTTACTTGCTTTCTACTAAATTTTATGAGTTGCTTATATATTTTAGATATAAAGCTCATAGGATATATGGTTTACAAATATTTCTGGATATCTACAAGCAGATAAAAAAAAAGAAAACAAGAGAAACAGTGTATCCTGTCTTGCTTCAATGGAAGACTTTTAGTATTTTAGTCTCTGTTTTGTTATTATTCCTACAACATCTAGTTATTGTTCCCTGCCTTCTCATTTTCAAGAGTCAATAAAAAGCCAACGGGAAGCTTTGTATGCATGGTGGAAGCTTACTAATGGTGAGTTTCCATCTATCAGGTGATACAACAGAGACTGACAGTTCATGTGACCTTAGTCCTTTCTCCTGAGTCAATCAGTTTACCACAGAAGGAATCCATCAATTCTGTCTGACATGGATAAAAAGGGAGCATGTATTCTGGTGTCCAGTAGGGAAGTCTACCAGAGAATCCCATCATTTTGTATGTAAGCATTCATTGTTTGGGGCATAGGGTCTCACTATGCCCATGACTGCTCACACTTGTATCTGTATAACTAAGCGCACATAACAAAACTAATAAAACTTTTACTCTTCTAAGTTTTTTGAGCCACTCTTGCTCCCTAGTTAAATTTTTTGTTGTTGCTGATTGTGAAGCTTGAATGCGGCCTGGACGCTATCCCTGAGTTTTTCTGCTCAAGGCTAGCACTCTACCTACTGATTTAAGCCACAGCTTCATTTACTTTTTTGGTGGTTAACTGGAGATAAGAGTCAATCTCTTGAAGCGGGCACTGGTGCCTCACGTTTGTAATTCTTAACTACTCAGGAGGCTGAGATCTGAGGAGCGGGATTCAAAGTCAGCCCAGGCAGGAAAAGCTGTGAAGCTCCTATCTCCAATAAATCACCAGAAAAGCCAGCCATGGCTCAAGTGGTAGAGCTCTATCCTTGAGCTGAAGATATTAGGGACAGTGCTCAGGCCCAGAGTTCAAGCCTCATGACAGAAAAAAAATCATCTCATGAACTTTCCTGCCCATGATGGCTTTCAAACCACAATCCTCTAATCTCACCCTCCTAAGTAGCTAAAATTGCAAATGTGAGCCACCAGCGCCCAGCTCCTAGTTAAACTTTGAAAATAAATAGTAATAACACCACATTCTTTCATCTAGCCCTGTTTCTATTTCTGTAATTATCCATTGTTAACAGTGTTATCTTTGTTACAGAAAAATGAACTAACAGCATTCGTAGGATGGTTTACACACTTGATTTGCAGAACCACAAATTGCTCAATATTCTACCAGATATTCACTGGAATCAAGAAGACTGAACACATTTATTTTATGAAAAACACATGAAATTAAACCTTCTTTCTGTTCAATCATGCTTGCTGAAAGAAGGTGGATTTGAGGAGGAATTTCCCCCACCTGCTCAATCTTCTTGACTAAATTCTCTATTCCAATTACCCTATGTTCACTGTTGGTGTTTGCTGCTCTTTAGGCACATGAATCTGATTCCAAGATTTTGTAACACTTGACTACAGTTCAATCTCTTATAGCTATATTGTACAATATGGTAAACACTAGCCACATGTGACTATGTAAATGTAAACAATTATATCTAAATAAAAGTGACAAAAGCTGCCTTTGCTGAGAAATAATAACTGGGGAGCAGAATAAAGGCTAAATATTCCAGACTCCTCCATTTTCCATCTATGTCCTGAGCCATTCTGTCACTTTTTAAGTGTTTTGGGACCCAGAAAAGAGCAGAAAGGAGACCAGATCAACTGCTAGATATCAACAAGTCTCTGAGGTCTCACCTCATCAAATGTGAGACAGCAGACTATCAGACCACCTGACACCTTTGAATAATTCTTTTACTTGGGACTATTTTAACAATGCATACTTTCTTGCCCTCTGCCCTAATTCTCCCTATTTAACCGAAGGCAAATGTCTGTACCCTGAAAATAGCTGAAGATGTCCAGAAGTACTGTCTTCCCATGCCATGCATGTGTCTGTCATTCACATCTCTATTTGGCATGTAGAGATGTGTGGCCAGACCTAACAAGTACAACTCCTGGAGTTGGGGTCTGGGATCTAAAACTCTAGTCTTAATAATTCCATTCTATTACCCTATAAACATTCAAGTCCTCAACAACCACTATGGCTACCATAATAGACAGTACAGACACAAAGCATTTACATTACTATAGAAAGTAATATTGGCAATGCTTCTCTAAAAAGTAAACTCCAGTCTTATGCAGAGGCAAGAGGTACTTCATATGGACCCCAAACTGATGGACAAAAACCTAAGAATCTAACTATTCTTTAGGGTAAATAGCAAACAAAAACTGAGTAGACTCCATCTCCAAAATAACCAGCAAAAATCCAGGCTAGATGTGTGGCTTAAATGGTAAAGAACATAATGAGCAATCACAGACTCTCAGTTCAAACCAGTGCTGCCAAAAATAATTCAAGCAGAAAGCTAATGTCTGGGTTTTCAAAATACTAATCTAGATCTTCCTACCAAAGTCAAAAAACCACTTCATTTCTATAAAGAAATACTTTCGATTCTTCATTTGGTGCTTTTTAACAAAAAGATGGAATGATGAATAAAAGTGAAAAATATGTTCTATATTCTCAAAACAAACCTGTGCTGGTGGTACTTGTAGTGGATTGTTATCCAAAATTATTACTTGCAAATGATGCAGCTTCCTGTAACAAACTGGGATTTCAGTCACTTTATTACAAGAAAAATCCAGCTTGACTAAGGGAAGATCACCTAGTTCTGTGCAGAAATGAAAAATAAATAAGTTAAATATTGCATAGCTACTTTCATATACATATAAGTAAAAACAGTGAACATCTTACCATCCGGCAAAGAATGAAGATTATTTCTTCTTATATTCAACTCTCGAAGTGACTGTAATTTTCCCATTTGTTGGGGAAGGACCTGTATTTCATTGCAGCTAATATCCTAAGTAATAAAAGAAAATAATAAACTGAGAAAGGCAAATACATTCCAATCTTTAAATTAAAACATATGGTTAATAGCAACTAAGAATGACCTGTAATATAAAGCTATTCGTTTAGGGGGAAAGGGAGAATTGTATGCATTCAATTTTATCAAGGTTAAGTGTCAAGAATGTCAATGTAAAGCCGGGCGCTGGTGGCTCACGCCTGTAATCCTAGCTACTCAGGAGGCTGAGATCTGAAGATCGCGGTTCAAAGCCAGCCCGGGCAGGAGAGACCGTGAGACTCCTATCTCCAATAAACCACCAGAAAACCAGAAGTGGCATTGTAGCTCAAGTGGTA